CAGAGCACCTATTTGAAAGTGCTGGGTCTCTATGTGTTGACTTGGAAAGATGCTCATATATACTGTGTGTGTGTGTGTGTGTGTGTGTGTGTGTGCGTGTGAGAGAGAGAGAGAGAGAGAGAGAGAGAGAGAGAAGGGAAGGAGATAGCGGGAAGCGATGAGGGAGAGGGAAGACGAGGTAGAGGCCTAGATCTAGATGAGGTACCACCACATTTTGGTTTAAAAAAGGAGACAAGGGAAAGGAAAACAAAGCACTGTACACAGAACAGTTTGTTTGTATCAACATGACAGGTGACTGAGAACAGAGGACAAACTAATACCTCTGCGGCAAGTTAATAGATAACAGGAAGGAAAAGTGATGACATCATTCATCTATAATTTGTTATAATATGTGTCTTTCATATTATTTTAAAATTTCAATGAAGAAATGATCAGAGAGTTGTGCGCCATATGTTCCTTACAGCACTATGCACAGTAGCCAAAAGGTTGAGAACCATCTACCGGCTCATCAACAGATAAACGGAGAAACAAGATAGGGAACCAGTAGACAATGGCATACTAATAAATCCACTGCCTTCCAGACGATTGGGATGCAGAAAGAACACATTTGACCCGTGAGAACACAGCAGGCCTGCCTCCCCAGTTTCCAAGGATGTACATCTTTCCTGAGGCAGACTGCCTCCTCTTTCTCCTGGGCAGTAGCTGGTGGGGATCAGACTGCCCCCTTCTGGCCAGCCTTCAAATGTGTCATCATTGTGCCATCTGAGCCATCGAGAGAAATGACGTTCTGACACAAGCTACAGCCTGGGAAACACTTGAAAATATTACGCTAAGTGAGTGATAGGGCAATCATCCTATGTGCCCAATGACAGATGAAATCTCAGGTAAGTGCACAGATGTCAAAGTTTATTACCCAAAGTGGTAACCAGGAAAGGGTGGGTGCAAGGAGGGAAAAAAAGTTCTCATTGTTTAGGGGACACGGAGCTGTGACAGGTGACATAATTAGTGTCTTCTGAACTATGCATTTGAAGCATGTTGAAATGGCAAGTGCTTCGGATGACATGAACTCTCACCTGGGCACTGGCCAAACTTGCCACCAGGACACACACAAGTGTATTTTTCCTCTCTGGGGTCCATGATACATTCAGATCCTTCAGGGCACGACTTGTCGTCACATCCATGGTGGACAACTGGGCATCTTCCCTCTTGGTTTAGAGGTAAAAAAGAGGGGAGAGACCTGGTCAACTGGCATTTCAAGAAAACAATCTCTTCTTTGCGGCCCTCAAAAGTGGCCTTTAATAATGAATATGCAGCACCTATTTCCACATGCTGACGTTACCTTTGCAGAGACAGACAGCCGTTCTCTGGTGGTGAGGAGTCACAAAGCTAAGCCTGGCTGTGCTGTGCGTCGACATGGCATTCTCATCCACGGACACCTTTTCATCACAGAATCTCCCTGGGCAATCCAGCCCTGCACAGAGCTTCTGGAACACAGCCAGTATCCTCACACCGATGATTTCCTCAATATCAGTCACCGAGGAATTAATCTTGTGCAGAAGGGTTTTTGTGGGAACTTGGGCACTACCTGGTCTCTCTACGAAAAGTAAGACATCCAGATGTGACTGCGGCTCAGAGGGCTGTAAGCTCACGACCTGTATGTCGTTCCTCCTCACGCCCAAGATGTTCCGCAGGGCTCGCTGGAAGTTGCGCCAGTAGTCACCCACAAACTCCTCCGGCGTAAGGTTAGCAAAGCGCACGGCAATGGTGTGGTTCAGCATCTCCTGTGTGACCTGTCTGATGTGCACTGTGATGTCAGCCACCGTGGTAAATCTGCCATCCGTCACACTGACGTTGAGCAGGTACTGCCCTATGTCTAGTTTTTTGTGTGCTATCAGCTTACCCCCTGTGCTGGAAACAGAGAACAAGCTGTCCATTTGGGGATCAAGACTGTAGGTTAAAGTGTCGTACACGTCTTGGTCTGTGGCGTGGATCTTCCCAATGACACCGCCGGAGTATTCCTCTCTAAAAGCAGTAATGAAAATCTCGAGCGGCAAAATTGCAGGAGGATAGATGCTCTCCTCAATGACCCTGATGTCAACATGGGTCAAAGATGACAACTGTGGTTTCCCATTATCTGCCACCTGCGAGGGAAGGGAATAAGCCAATTACTTGAAAGTAAGTCTTCCTGGCTGTTTAGGAAAAGACATATTTTCATTTCTCATGTTCTATAAAGTCATTGTCCGGCTGGAGTAAAACTCTCGACTCACTGCGTCGAGTTGATGCCGACTCATAGCAACCCTATAGGACGGGGCAGAACTAACGGCCCCCTTGTGAGTTTCTGAGACTGTAACTCTTTACTGGGGTAGAAAGCCCCATCTATCTTTCTCCCAAGGAGTAGGCTGGTGGTTTCAAACTGCTGACTTCATGGATGGTAGCCTACAGCATAACCTCTGTTAGATAATAATTTTTTCATGGGAAAAAGGAGAAAAAACTTTATCCAGTCCCTACACTAATTACTACTGAAGTTTGGCTCCATCATTCTCTATGGAAGCAACTTCACGAACAAATGACCTTCCCAACAAGGGTAACAGCATAAAAATGCGGGGCTGGCAGAAAAGCCCGAAGATGGAAATTCTATAAATAGTTATTTTCTCATGAAGTACACACTCTCAAAGGCCAGCACAGGCAGAGATGAGAATAAAAAAGGAAGATTTTAAAACAGTCCTCTCTATCCATGGCTCTACAACACAATGATGAAAAACATCAGTACCTTCACGTGCAGTATGTAATGATCTTTCACTTTTCTCTTGATGGCAGCGGAAGTCAGGAGGACTCCTTGCTGGTTCACTTCAAATGCTCCATCGTCATTCCCACTCACGATGGTAAAGAAGAAAGGCGGGCCGTTATGAGAAGAGTCCCTGTCTGTTACCACGAGTTGTAGTACACTGAAACCCACAGGCTTGTTTTCCTGTACCAGAGGAAGCACACAGGCGTACACAACTTTACACACAAATGAATGTATACAGGTAAGGCGCACACACTGGATTCTGTTAATACGAAGGCTCAGCTTTACCCTGACAATCCACCTGAGGGGGAGTCAGAGCGGAGCAGGGGGGCAAGAAGTGGTGAGAATGATGCCGGATGAGGAGAGCCAGAAAGGAGCACCTGGGGACCAGCGGGCAGTGACAAAGGAAGGAGGAGATCACCAGCAATAGCAGCAGCGAGGGAGCAGATGACTAAGACCAGACACTTCTTCTTTCTCCCGAGGAGCAATGGGTGGGCTCTAACTGCTGACTTGGCACTTAGCAAACCAATGCAGCCCTTCATTAAGAAGCAAGCACTCCCTAATCCCAGAAAAATAATATTTCAAAAATTTTAACACAATAGAAAAAGAAGAAAAGATGGTCGCTATCTTGAAAGTGCTCATCTTTAGTATCAATGGAGAACCCTCTAACTTTCTCCACCCCCCACCCCCCAGGAAGTCTGGGTAAGTCAACAAAAGACTGTGGCCATAAAATCCACAGAAAACTGAAATACCTCAATAGATAAAACAACCAAAACTGACGACCCAATTAAAAAGTGAGGCATGAACAGAAATTCCATCTAAATGGCAATCAGCCTATGGAAAATGCTCACGATCACTGGCCATTGGGAAGATGGAAATGGGAGCCACCAGGAGGTATCACCTTACAGCTATAAAGGCAGCCGAATTATTAAGAAAAGAACATGCTGAGAGGGAGACGATACTGGAAATCTCATACACTGCTGGTAGTCCTATAAATATGTAGAACCTTTGTGGAAGGTGATATGGTGCTACGTCAAACAATTAAGAATCGAAATTCCATACAATCCAGCTGGATATAACCCTAAAGAAGAAAGAGATATGGCATAGACAGACATGTGCATACCCATGTTCTTCACACAGGCGTTATTCACAATAGTAAGAAGCTGGGAACAGCCCAAATGCCCATCAGTACAAGAAGGAATAAAGAAACTCTGGTACGTACACACAGTGGAATATTATGCATCCCTCAAAAACAGGGTTGAAACCACAAAGCACCTCATGACGTGATGGACAGAGAGAACATTACACTGAATGAAGTTAGTCAATCACAAAGGGACCAATACTGTATGACACCACCACTACTAGGATAAAATGAAGAAGACAATTTGCGTGAAAGGGAGGATGGTGAAGAGAAACCAGAATGGGTGGTGGTGGTGCTAAGTTGATGGTCTGAATGCACATCCCCCCCCACCCCGCCAAATCTCAATCAATAATGGGTAGGAAAAAGGGCTTAAAAATGAAAAACCAAGATCAACAAGCAGCCATCTAGCTGAGAAGCAACAAAGTCCACATGGAAGAAGCACACCAGCCTGTGTGATCATGAGGTGTTGATGGGATCAGGTATCAGTCATCAAAGACCCAGAACAAAAGATACTATCAATGTGAATGAGGGGGAGGGCGCAGTGAAGCCCCAAAGCCCCACTGCAGACAACTGGACACCCCCTTACAGAAAGGTCACAAGGAAGAGACTAGTCAGTCAGGGTGCAGCACAGCACTGATGAAACATACAACTCTCCTCTAATTCTTTAATATGCCCCACCCCTCTACTATCATGACCCCAATTCTACCTTACTAATCAGACCAGAGCATGTACATTGGTACAGATAAGAGCTGGAAACACAGGGAATCCAGAACAAACCCCTCTGGACCAATTAGAGTAGTAGAGATACCAGGAGATTAAGGGGAAAGTAGGGGGGGGGGCGGGAACCGATCACAATGATCTATATATAACCCACCCAGCCCCGGCCAGGGGGGATAAACAACAGAAAAGTGGGTGAAGGGAAACAATGGTTGGTGCAAGACATGAAAAAACATATTAATTATAAATTATTAAGGATTCATGAGGGAGGGAAGGTGAGGAAGGGAGGGGGAAATGAAGAACTGATATCGAGGGCTCAAGTAGAAAGAAAATGTTTCGAAAATGCTGATGGCAACATATGTACAAATGTGCTTGACACGATGGATGGATGGATGACTGTGATAAGAGCTGTAAGAGCCCCCAATAAAATGATTTTTACAAAAGAAAAGCAGCCAAAGCAAGAGCTCCCTTGAAAGGTGTTCAATGAGCCCTGAGCAGGTCAAGATTACCTGGATGATTATGCTGTAGTTTCCCCTGGAGAAGACTGGAGGGTTGTCATTGACGTCAGACACATCGATGTTCACGGTGGTGGTGTTAACTCGGGGTGGGGTGCCATTATCAGAAGCTTGGATGGTGAGTGTATACCCTGAAATCTTCATGGGGAAAAGACAAAGAAAAGACATGGGCATTTCCACGAGGCCCAACAACAGCAGTGAAATCGATTGTGCATGACAATCTGGAAGGGTACATCCAACAACCTGTCTCCTGTGCCTAGGTGACTCTCTGCCACACAGAAGCCCGCAAACCCACGGCCATGCAGTTTATTCTGACTCCATCTCCCTGCCATCCTGCCGGTGCTGACTCCCAGCGACCCATCAGGGCAGGATCGAGCTGCTCCTGTGAGATCCCCTAATTCTTTACCAGAGTAGAAAGCCCCATCTTTCTCCCAAGGAATGCCTAGTTTTGAACTGCTGACCTTGTGGGTCGCAGCCCTACACCACCAAGCTCCCCGTTCACTCACAGGGACCCTGTACTGCAGAGTTTAAGTTTCTAAAGCTGTAAATCTTTAGAGCAGCAGAGCTTCACCTTCCTCCAGCAGAGCCACTGTCTGATTTGCACCACTGGCCTGGGGAAGGGTAAGCAGTCCAGTGTGTAACCAACTACCTCACCAGGCTCCTCACCTACAAGCAAGGGAACTGCCTCTCTACAAAGTTGAATAAACAAAAGCAACAGTGATTAGAATCCCCAAAGCTGCTTTAAAATGGTACTCATTTTGTTAGCAGCTATAATACTAAAACTCCACTAATAGAAAATAAGGGGGGAAATGGCACAGATGTTAAAAAATATTAATCTATCTCAAGTGCTGCTACTTTGGTAACAATAGGGCAAGGTCCAAGTATTACTCTCAGCTAGAAGGAGACATTAATAGTAGAAAGTAAGACTTAATAGCCAAGGGCTTTTTTAAAAAAAAAACCTGGGGCACTCCAGATGACCCTACTCCATCAATTTCATACCTGAACTCTCTCCACAACTTCCTGCGAAAGACACTGAGTCACGCAAGGTGGCTTTTCCAAGCAAATCTCTATTCCAGAATGAGTGGAGGCAAAAGGCAGAAAGTTGGCAAAATCCCTAAAACATTAGTCCTGCAAGATGCTACAACCACAGTTCTGAAAGCAAATTAGCGTGCAACACCACAGGTCAGGGCTCTGCTCTCTTACAAGTGAACATTAGCACATCAAAGACTCTCGTGGTTCTTAAGTCAATAACTCTACATTTTGTTCTGCTCAGCAATGCAGGAATCCTTGGCTTTAGGTCACAAAGGGAATTAAAGACTTGTATCTCATAATTTAACTCATCGCTGTATCTCTTCAAACTCCTATCAGATTTCTGAAACTGCATTCTTTAATATCAGCAATTATTATCCTCATTCCCAAAGCCAAGGCTTTCCCTGAAAGTCTCTCCTGGTGCCTCCGAAGCTTTGACCATGGACCACTCTTTTTAAGCTTTTCCTATTTGAGGCAGCTCCTGTCTCTACATCTTGACGGAAAGCGGAGTGTACGAGGGGGCACACGGGTCAATGGAAGGATGTGAGGGCAGAAGTTGGGAGGACGGTAAGTGAGAGGATGAAGTGGAAGGCGCCAGAAGGGGAACGGTGGGCGAATCTGAGAGTGGAGGGATGGGTAGCCGGGTCACTGAGGAGGTGGTCAGCCCCACCTGCCTCTCCTCATTTTTTCATCTATTGCAAGCACTAGATCACTTCTACGATCACCTCCAGAGGAATGTGTCACTTACATTGCCAGCTCTGAAGTCTCTGCTTTACCAGGACCATTTTCTCTTAAATGTCAACATACCAAACAAGCCACATTCTTCAGCTTCTCTCTGCACTCCTAACTCCCCTGCTGCTCGTCAAGGCTACCACAGGGCTGACGGGAAAAGAGGGAGTCCTCCTTGACTTACTGCCTTCTACACAGGGCCCTTTCTACGGCACACGCATTCAATTTTACCATCGGTCTTTTCTCTAGTCTTACTGCTACTTTCTCGTTGCCCCACACACGTTAACTGCCTTCCTACCTCGTCTTTACTTTGCAAATACTTAGACCAACCACAATACAAGTCATCTCAAAGTAGTCCTTTTGTAATGGCACATCTTGACTCACAAATATTCAGTAACTCTCCTGTTGCCTGTAGAATCAAGTCCGAACTTAACCCTGCTTTTAATGTGGCCTCTAATCTGTTCCTAATATACCTTTCTAGCTTACCTCTCCCTACACTTTTATAGATTTCATACAACCGGGTAAAGTTCCACTCATATAGACCATGGCTTCGAGTCTCCATGGCTTTGTTCATGTAATTCCCTCACAAGGAATTCTCTTCTCTCAATTTCTGTAACCATCCAAGTCCTTGCTAGTCTCTGAAACCTGCAAGAAGAGTCTCAGAACACTGAAGCAAGAAGGTATCCCTTTCTTCAATGACAAAACACTTTCATTGTCCAAATTAATTAGGATGAAGCATGCTTCTTAGAGCAAATCTCCATACCACAATTGTGGTTCGCGTATTTATCTCTCACTCAACAGCAAGGCTGAGCTCTCCTTCTGGCATTTCGCATCAGGCCCGGCAGATTCGGCACACAATGCACTGCTGGGAGCTCACTTGGTACTTTATGAACAACTGCAACCCAACTTTCCACTTACTGTTTCCCGATCGAGAAGTTTGGTCACTTTCACTTCTCCCTTGACGGGGTCAATTGTAAAGGGGCTTCCTTGATTGCCATCTATAATTGAATAGTGGACGTGGCTGTTGGAAGGGCCATCCACATCATCAGCCATAACCTAAAACATATCAAATTCTTGTTTAGGAAACAGCTAAGGGAAGGAAAACCAGGAACATCTCCAGCATATTCGTGACATTAAACGATACCTGTTTACAGAGCAATTCTTTACAACAGTTAGTGACTGGCTAGCAACAAACTCTCATATCTTGAAATAATTTCCAGTTACGTACACAGGAAAGAAGGATCGGTGTTAAGTTAAACAACTCCTGAAAACAACCAAAAGAAGAAGAGAAAAAACCAGAGGGGGAGAGACATACCACGATGACAGACTGTTCGAGAACTGCGTCTTCACTGACCACTGCCGTGTAGGTATCTTGGCTGAACATGGGCGTGTTATCGTTGATGTCAGTGACGTTAACATTCACAGTTGCAACATCACTTAACGACGGTGAACCTCCATCAGTGGCTTCTACCGTCAGATAATATTCATGAGAGCTTTCATAATCCAGATTTTCAATGATAAAGATGGCGCCTGGGTTAAGAAATAAAATTAGCCCCAGAACTTTGAAGTGATGTCATTTTTCTTATGGAGTAAAATGTTCACTGCAAAAGTGCCACTTATGTCTCCTTACTAATTTCTTAACTCAACGATAAAGAAATGACAAATTTGTTCATAGGACCTGTGTCTTTATTTCTTTTAACAACTTTCCTGACAGTCTTTGTGATATCTAAATTGCTTTCCCAATCAGCTACCTCCAATCAGCTATACAGATATCCCTTATCCCTTCTAAGCTCTACTAAAGCACACACATGCTACGCCCTACAGCTTTGCTTCCTTTTCAACTCAGAGTTTAAAAAAAAAGAGAGACAGGAACATACACAATCCTCTTAATCTCTAAAATAACACTGTTTATAACTTATCATTAAATAAAAGAATTTTAATTTACCAATTTCCTATTTTCCCTCTTCTCTAAATCATATTGCATTCCCCTTAAATACAAGTTTTTTAAAATTAGAAATTTTATGTTATATGTTAAAATGCATGTTAAAATAGAAGCTTTATGTTTTTGTCCATGATAGGCACAGTTAAGTCAAGTTTATGCAAGGTGTAATTTTTTAAGGAGCTCTGAAACATGCAGCTATTTGAAACCACACATTAGCTAAGACTACAAAGTATTCACAGAACAAGAGTCAATGGCTCCTTCGACTTCTGATCCCCGGCTCGGTCACTCGGTACAGAGTAACGAAAACCAAACACAAGCCAAACTCACTGCCGTCGCATCAATTCCAACTCACAGCGACCTATATGACAGAGCAGACCCACCCTCTGGGGGTTTCTAAGATTGCACACATTTCCAGGAGTAGAAAGGCCCAGCTGTTCCCCACAGAGCAGCCATTGATTTCACACTGCTGACTTTGCGGTTAGCAGGCCAATACGCCACCAGGATTCCTGTGTATAAAGCAAGTGGGATAATGGGCTTTCTTAGAACTACGTAATATATTACCTGTTTTTGATTCGATGCTGAACTTCCCATGTTCGTTCCCACTGATTATCGAGTAGGTAATTTCTGCATTGGCTTCAATATCGCGGCTTGCGGCATACACCTGAAGAACTTCTGTTCCAATAAGAATGTCCTCAGACACTGTGGCACCATATTCACGATACTCAAACACAGGTGGGTTGTCATTGATATCCAAAACAGATACAACCACCGTGCCAGTAGCTGTCAATCTCCTTGGCAAACCATGATCTACAGCTTTCAAAGTAAGAGTGTACACTGCCTGCAGTTCCCTATCCAAAGGCTTCTCCAACTGAATAATTCCCGACAATTCATTAATAGAGAACTGCCCATCAGCAGAGTCAATCAGGGAGTAGGAAATCTTCCGATTCAATCCTGCAAAGACATAGAATCATGTCAGAATGCTACAGAAACTGAAATGTTGTATTTGAAATCTCACTTCAAATTTAAGCAAGTCATATTAAAAAGGGGCCCATGGAACAGGAGGAAGCTGCAAAGAAATAGAGGAAAGAAGTAGGAGGCAAAGGGAATACATACAAGCCTAAATACAGACTTGTACATATGTGAATATAT